CGTGTATGTAAAAAGTATTTGTCGAATCAATGTGTGTTGCCGTGCCCCCGCGGATATTCTCATGGTGAAGAAATTTCATCCGATCTTGTTGCTCCGTATGAATTGCTCCATATTGGTCAAATAGATGCATATAAAGTTGGAAGTAATTGTTGGGCTAAATATGAAAATGATGAGGTATGGTACATGGCAAAGCTTGTTGGTATTGAAGCAGGTGGCCATGGCTTTAGAGTGATTTATAAAGGATATGAGAATGAACATCCTCATGGGGTAGTTGTAGGTCCCGATGAGATAATACCAGTACGAGGACTTTATGACATGGAAGAAGACAATGAAGACGATGAGGATGGCAATTCTAGTCAAAGTGATTACTCCAATTATGAAAGTGATAGTCTTAGTGATGATATTGACCCACCGTCCAAAGAACCCAGGGAGTTTGAAAACATTCATATATTTAATTCATCTAATGATGAGCCCTGTCGTTTTGCGGAATGGGAAAAACATACTAAAGGTATTGCTTCCAAACTTATGGCTAAAATGGGTTACAAAATGGTATTTAAATCTCTATATTCTTATTTGAATCACTTAAAATGTACCAGTGAAACTTATATTTATTTTATTTATTTATTGATTTTTTTGCAATATAGGGTGAAGGATTGGGTAAGAATAGTAATGGCATAATAAATCCGATTGAAGTCAAGATTTATGATAAAGTAATATCGCTGGACTATATCGGTGGACTGGAAAATAAATCTGGTCCTCATCGGCGCAAAAATCGGAATCGTAAATCCCATGATCCATCGATTCAATCCAAACATCATAGATCTCGTAAACGAAAAACAACAAATATTGGTTTATCCAACAATGTTGACATTTTTGAATCAAACAGTACTGTTTTTGACTATTTGAATTCATCTCTTAACAAAGGTGGAAAACAGAACACCCATGTATCTCAACGTCCTCGCCACCTCTCTGAAACTAATCATAACATAGCACTATACCAGATACAACAACAACTAAGCCAAACCAAC